CTGCCACTATCTGAATGATTTGCTCTAGCTAGCATATCCTATAAGCCAGTCTCTCAACAGGAAAGTCCACGATATTGCCTTCACAGATGGAGGTACATCTTCTACGTTCCCGGTGCATTGGGTGATGTTTTAGACCTTTTTATAGGTGACCTCACTGTGCTACTGACCACTTTGCAACACTTGAGGACGACATGATTGCTGTAAGTTAGGCGTTGCTTTTGTCATGATTCTTCCGTTGCGAGTCTGAGGGGATTCAATTGCATTTAGATCGGATTTCTTTCGTGGCATCTAGATGCGTCATCCCATCTCCACGGTTCGAGTTGGTGCTCATTTCGATCAGGTTTGCTTATTACTGTCATAAAAGTGAGATCCTGAGCCATTCCCGAACCAGTAGTAATTCATGTCCCTACCGTATAGACGACCTGCTAGGCCGTGGGCATGGCCGGGATAACTTTTCATCAATACGCTGGTGGAAACTGCGGTAGCCTGAGAGCACATATCTTTAAATGTAGCTTTTTATTTAATGCCATGACTACATTAAAAATATATGGGTAGATGGAGTAGCCGAAATTCACTAGTCTTTGTCAAACGGACAAAATAACTAGGTTTTGATCACACTCAAGAAATTGTGAGCCAGTGGGGTCCTGCTTTTCGTGTTTTTTTATTATTTTTAATGTTTAGTGGTTGTGTGTGTGTGTGTACGAGTTGGGTTGAAAACAAATAAGGCGCACTCGCATGTCAGTCCAGCTACACCCTAAGTTGATGTAAGTAGTTACTGAGTTAGTTTCACTTCTACCTGTGGTCGTTTTTTTAATAAAAGCTTCATTTTTTTTCGTGACTGTGTAGTGCAATCTTGCTGTTCGAATTGAGCCCCTCCTATTCGAGTGGTTGGGATGGTACTCGGGCAAATTGCCAAACTTCCTGTCACCCGCGATGCTCACCGAATTGGGCTACAATGTGGACAGGGAGTGTCAGGCTCTCTCCTCTCTCAATCAGCTTGATCTGCAAGAAAGCATACCCCAATTCTACGCACGCTCTACTCAAATAGTCAAGGACATTCTTGAGCATAACCCAATCAAAGGTGGGTGGAAGTCGACTCCCCTTCTTTTTAATGCATTGCCTAGCATAGGATTGGATTCACCTCCTCTCTGAAGGCGTTATACGGCTGAATAACTAGTCTCACGGTTCAAGTCATTTTGTCGAACTGGAAAGTTTTGTCCAAGTAAAAGGACGAATTTTAGGGAGTTGGGAATGCAGTTATTTTCGCACAAAGTCAAAGTTTTCTTACTACCAACCAATCAGCTTCGGCTGAATTACCCAAGGACACTCAACCTGCCTGTCCCGTTATCCGGTGTGCGCTAACGTCTAAGTTGTAAAGCTTCGTGCTCATTCTCGTAAATAATGGTTTTGTATTCACCATTTCTCGGACAGAGGTTTAGCCGTCTCTTGGGTTCAGGTTGAGAAGCTCACTGTGCTGAATGTTTTTTACAGGAATAACTGTTTGGCCTGTAGGCTGGCAGTGAAATACCACTGCTTGAATTGTCACTGACGCACGTACAGTCGTCTAGGCTACGCATACATTCCTTACGTGTTCTGTGGCTGTGTTCCGTCACTGTTCCATGGTAATCTGTAGACATGAGTACCTGTGCTTTGAGGGTGGCTGAATGCACGCAACTGCTAGCACTGTTGCCTGGTGTCTTGAAGAATGGTTTCTGAATTGGCCCGCACACGTCACTGTTTGGGACTGAGTACTTGACTAACTCATGTATGATAGTTTTTTTCCATCTTTGCGCTTCACGGGTGTATTTGTGTAAGCCAGCCATCCATCTCCAGAATTCCATCGCTCATCGTTTCCTTTTTTATTATTTCTATATATACGACCCAGAAGTTGCGATTTGGATGCTTGCCGAATTTCGATGTGTGTTCACAAGCCTGCAAATCCCTTTCTTTTAGGCCACTTAGCCGATCCACTTAGAACCAAGTCTCCTTTGAAGCATCAACAAAAGGGTGTCGCCCTTGTCCTGCTGCGTCTGATGTAATCTTGGCGACTGTCTTGAAGTACCTGTTTTGTAAGCATGGAAAAGCACACGACACTATTCTTGTCTTAAATGCTTACTTTATTTGTCGTGCACTAGCTGGCCTAGTTTCCCACTGTAAATTGTGACATCTTGCTGCCCTTAAGGTAACTATGATGGCATTAGTTTTGTCGTTTCATTGACTCCCTTACCTTTCAACCTTGCTTCGTCCACATCTTCGTTGTTTGACTGCGCACCAGGGCTTTTGGTTAGAAGTACAGCCCTCTCTCGAGTCTGTACGAACTCTCTCCGAATTGAGATAAGCCGGTGTTGCGTATACACATACACAGCTTGTGCGTCACAGATATGTGACACAAGGGTCTCATCAGCCTTTGATAACTTAAGCTGCCACCAAATTACATCAAAGACCGGTTGATTGAGGGCAAAACATAGTAAGCAGATGTTGGATTTCCTGATTCGAGAAAACCGGCCTCTATGGTGGCCCGTTTTTTCCACGGACACCCTGACAGCAAATGCATTGAGGAGGTTGGACGGGAAAACTCATTCTCTTGTAAATTGTGAGTTGGTTGCCAAGTGTCCAAATATCAGTCCCACAGACCATTTTTCGAGCAATTTCGCGCTGCGCTTTTGTCAACTAATCTTCGCTGCACTGTGCTCGTGGGAGGGGATGGGAAGTTTAATGCCTTTTTGTCTTCCCTTGGCGCTGACTCTCTCTCTCTCCCCTCTGGCCCAGTTTTGACCCGCCTTTGTTGTCTAGGTGGCTGTCCTCCGGTTTTCTGTGCTTTATTATCATTGGTGTGGAACATTTTTTGGACTTCGTTACATTCTGGCTGGGATATCGAGTGTACAATTGTCCATGGTACAGAAATTGGATACCAAGATAAAGGCAAGCTTAAATATGGCCCGACTTACCACTGCTTATTCATTCCATTCGCTAGGTGGAATCGGTTCGAATGATTACTTAAAACCATACTGTTAGTTTCCACCTTTTTAGTTGCCTCTGGAGCGGAATAAGGTATAAAAATCCGGTGGCATACCTAGTGCCAGTGTACCGAGGAGCTGGGAGCCTTGTGCCATTAGCATGGTAGCTTAAATCGCGAAACGGGAGTGAAAATCCCACAGGTGTTCACCATCACCGCAGAAAGAGATCCGTTTTCCAGAGTTGAGTGGTGGGTCATCCAGTCACGTTATCTTTACCAACTGTATTCTAGGGCGTTCACTAACTTGATGTCATTCAGGGCTGGCCACTATTCTGCGACATCATTATCTGTCAGCTTCCTCAGTCATTTGTACAAATGGGACCTGTGCGATTCTCCTTCTCGTTTCGAATGCTCCCTGTGGTAGCCCCCTTCTTCCAGCTTTCCAGTTTACTTCAGTCAACGGCTGGCCTGCTCTGTCGGATTTGGATTACATGGCGAGAGCACTTCGTAGTGGTGGTTTGGGTGTATACCTTACGCATACTACTTCCTCTGGGAATTAGTCTCCATCGGCTGGCTGATTAATGCATTTTGTAGTTTAGTAGATGTTCACAGTTCTTTAGTCTAGAAAAAAAAACAAGAGCAGAGGGTATCTTGTTCTTAGACCATGGTCAGAGGGTAAGTACTCGCATCACATCTCTTAACATGGTTTTATCAGCTCTGTAAAATGCACTCATCCACATCAAATAGCTTCATTTTATAACATTTTGGTGGGAATGTCCTTCTGAAGTTGTTTCACTTGAGTTGTCGCCAGATTCGTTGCAAAGCTTTATCAAAGGAAGGATGAGCTGCAGGATAGTTATCAGGTGCAGTAAAAAGCCTTATGAAGTTTCAACTCCTTCGTATGTTGAAAAACTATGAGAAGAAAGTAACTTTTCTTCGGATTTTTACGTATGCACTCGGTACAAATTTAACCCAAAATCACTTTTTAACTCCTTGGCTCGCCCGTATGTGGATCCACACCTCTCCACTGGACTTTTAACTGAGTTCTGTCGAAAGGCTTTGAAAAGGATTGATAAAAACGTGATGATGTATCCTCTTGGTAAAGAGTTCATTGTTACAGGATGAATTTGTTAAAGCGAGTGGGTAGATTAAAAACGCACATCTCTTGATTACGACGTGGTCGTTTTATCCATTAGCCTGTCACCCCATTTGTCCGCGAGGGGCTTTGACAAAGTGCGTTAACACCTACGCTACCAATGTCGCATGTACGGGTGATAGATGGATTTTCTCACCCGAGTCCGCACGTCACAGATATGTGACGCATGTTCTTTGTCTGTTTAGGATAAAAGCTTGCACCAACTCGTTCTATAAACAGATTGGATGAGTCTAAAATAAGCAAAAACGAGTAAGCTGGTCTAGGGTGACAGTTGCGGAGTTTTGAGTTACTGATCCGTTGCTTAAGTGGCCTATCCGGTAATGAAAGCGTTGGTGTCGTACTGAACCAGTGAAACATCTGCGTGGCTGTGATTTTCAATCTTCCTCTGATACTCCGGTGGTTGACCTTCTGAACCCACTTTAAAGGGCTCTTTTTTAATTATTAGTCCTGTAGCTTGGTGAGGCAGATATCAAACCAGATTCTTCGTTTTTTTTCCCATTTTTCTCGTGCTTTGTAGTACGCAAGCAGGATCAGAAGCCGCTTAACCCCTCTTGTTAGCATGTCTATACGTATTACCCTGCAAGGTTTAGGGTTTGGTAGGTCTCCAATTCAAGCTTTGTTAATTTCAGCGAATGAGGCGGGAATCGACTCTTCTTTCCTCCGGAGTCGATTTTAATTCAACTTTTTGGATAAAACAAATCGCCGCATTTTCTGTTTTGCAGACTCACTAATCGGTAATGAGGAGACGGCATTGGATTAAGTAATGGGTGAATTGAGTGCAAGTTGCGTCCATTTTTTTATATATTTTCCCACCCCTACATTTACTTTTATTTACCTAACTTTCAACTAATACTTGGGAAGCAGCCTTGAAGGGGAAGGGTTTGCAAATACCGCTGAACCATCGTAGAACATCCTGCTTCACTTCGTCATTGCCTCTGAAAGGGCAGCCTCTGAGTTGTCTTTTTGAAATTGGAAGTTCTTCTGATGCAGTTCGGCGTCGATTAAGTGTACAGACTGAGGCGTTCTGTGCTCGAGGTGAATATTTATAGGGATAGTTGCTGTGCTGTGAGCCGGGGACGGAGCAGACGTCGTTACCGGCACACAGACGGAGGTGTTGTACCCTCTTTGCAGATCGAAGTTGCATGCATGTTTCGGTGTTTACTTTAAGGCTGAGGCTTTTTTATCAGGTTGTCAAAAAGGGTTGATCCAATTTTCCGTATAGATTGTAAGAGTGGATGGTTGAAACTCGTAGAGGCAGTAGTTAAGCATTAGCATTTGGTATATTAACTTGTATAGCGCTTGAAGGAGGTGCAGTATGCGATTTTTGAATGCACCGTATACACTGTCAAGAAAACCTTTCAGTAGTGTGTCACATGAGTGAAGGTGGAACATTCCATTTTACGACTACATCAACCAGAAAGTGAGAGTTGTGAAAACGACGAAGCTAAGTCAGTACATGTCACATGCCCGTGCATTAACAGGTGGTAGGCAATGCTTTTTAACCACCGTCAATGTGTTTTTCACTTTTCTTACGTGCGTTGCAACGAAAATACCCCGTGCACTTGATTCTGTTGCTTGACTGAGTGACTGAATTGTGATGAGAAGTGACTTTTTATGGGTTCCCGTTCTAGGGTTTGTTAAGTGAACGAATTCCTCCTTGTTGGTTAACCCCGAATTACTTCCTTATTACCACTCCACATTTTTGAGGCACGCACCATTTCATCCTCGGAAGACTGATTGCTTTGCAAGTGTCAGGGGGTAAATTTTATTACCTTATTGGTGGTGGGAGATTTGACTGTGAGAGGATTTCATGTCACTCATCGGTTATACTGGGACAGGCGGAGGAAGATAATCCCTAGTCGTACTCACCTGATGTTTCTTCAAGTGATGATTGTTACCCTTTTATTGACAGCTGTCATGGAAGATCACGTGATTCTCCGTAAAATAAACAGTTAATAGTTGGGAAATAAAAGTGCAAACTTGTATTTGGCTTTGAAAAGACTGATACGTACCATAGTTAATTAACCGTTTTGTAAACCCTACTGCGGGAATTTTTAATCTTAGAACTATACTAGTTTGTGTAGTCATGCCATTGAGGCTTCTCCATCATGAGAATATACAAGTTCCAGCCACCCATGGCAGAAAACTCCCAAGACGGCCATTTGATGCACTTGGAAGTAGGTCTTTTCTGAGCATCACCAATACAAGCTGAAAAACATGACAGAGCAAACTGGAATCGTCAGAAAACTGTTAGTTATTTGTCATGAAGGACGATTACTGAGAGAAGGACAGAACTTGCAAAAAATGGGCTTGATTTAAATATGTTTTGCTGTATTCCAATGCTAATCTAAATACGGTTCTCTCGATTTCTCTCTAGGCGCCAACATACTCATAGTCGGACATGCGGCATCTCTAGACGCTTGCACCCGAAGCTTATTGAGAAAGCGATTCCGCAGCGGCGGCAGTGGCAGTGGAAGCAGCAGCAACAATGGAAATGTAGTCGCATTGACTAACGGAAATAGCAGTAACAACAACAGTGGAGGAGGTGGGATGAACGACATTGAGGAGCTGCATCGTAGGTGCTCTCCAGTTCCCTACTGCGGTCTCCTCTGCGCTGTGGAGGGGGGCCGTCGTTGGCGCTTGGACGAACCGCCTATACCCCCCCTAACCCATGGACAAAATGCCGACTTTGATTGGCGTCAGTCGTATAGCTCTTCTATCTGCAGTCTTGGTATCAGATAGAGTCTTCTTACCTCCACTCTCCTCTTCATCGTGCATAAAACCACCTGTCTTTCACAAACTCTCCGCATCCGCAATGACATCCAAAAAGGACTTAAATTTAACACACACACACTTTCCTCTTCTCTCCCTACCCCGTTGTTAATGTTATTGTTATAATTACGAAAACTTTCGTTGCTACCGCCACCATTAGTGATACTTTTGAGGTTATTCACTTCATTACCTAGTCAAATAGCTAACTGGAAGCACTGCTGCAGTTGTACTGGTTTTATCTCTGCACGATGCATCTTGAGCGGATTTTTATGCGTTGCAGGAAAGGAATGTGGGTGTCCCCGTAGATCGTGAAATGGTTCACACATTAACTATTTCCATTAGGAAGTTGCATTTATTTTTCAGAACAGTTTCTTGCCGCGGCATCGATACACTCATCTCACCGTTTTGCCGCAAAGTGGGAACGATGTCGATGTAGAGCCACCTAAATAGTGTGTCCAAAATGTCATAGATTGTTTTGTTTCGCTTTACTATTGGTATATGCTTATTTTGATTCTAGGCTAAGGTGGAGTGCTGGCACTCACGTTTTGTCTGGTATTAAAGCGTCCCCTCAACTTCGTGTAGGAGCCGACTATCCTGTGCTAGTCAAAAGGGGAAAGTTGTCCGGGTGCTTAGCATGTGCGTCTTGACTCTCTGAGATCAAGTGTTCGCGTTTATGGATGCTTGTGTCGTGTTCATAAAAGTTTTCCAACTCTTGCAATTTTATCAATGCATAGGTCCTTTATCCGCCGATCAGGCGTCCAACACTAAGCATTTTACATGCTGCCTGGGATAATTGATGGATTGCGGACCGGAAACGGAGCCCTAGCAACCGGTATTGGCACTGGCATACAGCTAAAGACGGAAAGGTAGACGGATGCAGGGTTTGGCTTTGAAAAAATTGTATCGGTCCAGCATCAGGTACCGTGGGTGTTTGGGTTTCACAGACTCGCTCATTGCCAAGTCCTACCACTGCCATTTAACACTTTTACAGACAATGTCCGAACTCGATTGGTCCAAGTCACGTGCACCGGCTATTAGCGATACTAGTAGGCCAGACTTGATACCATTATAATTTTATCTCTCTTCTTGGTACTGTGTAACATTATCAGAAAAGGTAAACCCGTTGAAAGGTTAGGCAGTGTAGTTGTTGAACGCAAAGGAGTTGGCCTAATTTTGTCTTACTGGCAGTAGCTTCACTATTAAGGCGCAGAAGAGACGGGACACGCTGAGACATGCCGGTTCATGGAAGGCTTTAATAGAGTTCAAAGCAAGCCGACGCTCCGATTTTAGAACCTAGAGTGGTGTGTTGGTGTGGGGCAATGCAAGCATTACTGTGCCAAGTTTGTCCCATGGGTATCACTAGTAGCTAGTTTAGACATGGTCTGTAAAAATTTTAGGGAAAAATGATAGGGGGTACCCTAATGAGCGAATCATCCCGTTAACAAGGCTGTGAAACCCAAACTCCCACGCCAGCTGATGTTTGAACAATACAAACATTTAGAAGTTAGTCTTGCGGCTGTCCGTCTGTCTATGTCAGTGACAATACCGGTCGCTGTAGTTCCAATTTCGGCCCTGTATTCCATCAGTCACCCCAGCGAACATTCAATTGGGGGGTGAAATTCGAGTTGATGATTTTGCGCAAGAGACGGAAAAATATTCCAGTGAGCACAGCACACACATTCATGAATCCAAGCATTTGGAATTTCAGCAGTCTAGCTTGTACTGGATGCTGAGTGGAGCAGACAGGGTGTTCTAAGATAATTCTAGCGCACTTAAAACTCTTTCATTGGCTAATCTCTGAGGGTAATAAATGAATACTAAGACAAGCGTAAAATTTAACAGTAGGGGGCTGTATGAAAATGTAAATTCAGTTTCCACACCTTGAAGTATCTTTTTTTAACTATGTACTCAGAAGTCTTAGGCTAACACCCCGGACTGAGTACCAGTGAGGCGACATGCTAAAGATATTGGCGACTCAACAGACATTCAAGCACACAAAAGTGCGGTTTTAGATCGTCCTTAGGCAGCTCTTTTCTTTATTGTAAGGATAGCTTCCATTTCAAGCTCAACAGCCAATCAAAATATTATGGCAATCCTCGCTGTGGTCGTGGTAAACTTGACCATTGGTGCACGCCTCTCCCCTTCTCTCCTTCTGTCAATATATCACTAAAAGTACTCTTTTGTGGTCTAAAGCAAAAAACAACAGACGTAGGTATTCATGGGGGGATGTTACGTTTTGTCTGGAATGAGTGTACACTTATTGGGAGGAGAGTAATGTCTACCATAGACTTGGTTAAAATGATCAAAGCTTGCATTCAGTCCGATACGATTTAATGGGTGACACTTCATGAGGTAATCGGCTTTTCGAATGTTATGCGTAGTGTTTAAAGGCAATCTGTCCGCAAAGGCATTGTTCTTGCTTCTAATAGCAATTAAATGCATCAACAATTTTCCGCTGGCAGCTGCTCTCTGGGCTCTCCTGTGTGTCTTATGGCAGCATTTGGTATAATTTAGCTCACCATTTAAGAAGGTATGTAGTGTGTTAATAGAACAACTCAAATTACCTTTTTTTTTTTACTTGGCTACCAAGGATTCGATTCCAACTTAGCGCCACTGCGTTCCGTCCCTACAATCATATGACGTCTTCTTTGGGACCGGCTCGGGAGCTGCAGTGTTGGCATGGCCGATTTTGGAGTTAGTTAAATGAGGTATGGAACATCCGACCTGAAGTGGCAATGTTTGCTTCCTGGGGAACGACAACAAATTGTGGATCATGCAGGCGTCCATTAAGTGATCTAACAGCAACAAACCCTTCCACTAGTAGTTCAAGCACCCTTCACAAAAGAATGCTTCATGTTTTCATGATGGAACTATCATTTGAGGTGGAATGCTAACCATAAAGCAAAATGGAACCAGTAGTACGTTTAATGAAGTGGATGCCACATGCTCTCCACACGATTTCGACGTCAGCTGATGCAATTCCTTTGGACGGCGTTTGGACAGCT